TAGGAGCTCTGTCAGGAGCCAGGACTAAGACCAAATATTAGAACAAAACATGCTACTAGTGCTCTTATCACTTAGGAAATTGCAAGGGTTTTAGGAACTCTGTTTCAGGAACAGGGGGCAAAGGCCACATTTTTTTCTATTATTTTACAGTGGTATTAACATGCTGTATAGAGGTAATCAGAGGCCACACAGCCCCCTCCAAGAGAGGGACACCTATTTATTGAATGGGATAGGGAAATACCAGGGAAGACTTGCCCAAAAAGGACATTGGGATGAGAATGAAATTAAAAGGCCAGAGATCTGAGACACAGCCCTTTTGACAAACAGCAAGGAATTAGGCATGTGGGGGACTACCAGGCAAATAAACTAGAGAACAAGACAGTGATTAAGAAAAGCCCTGAGTGATTCAAACCAGTGGAGAAAAGATGAACTTGTTAATAGGTAGTGTTGGGACAACTGGAGAGCCATATCAGAAAAAAAAAAAAAGACAAAATTAAAATCATGCCTCATACCATATACTAGTGTTGATCACAAAGGGATAGAGATTTAAGTATTAATAATATGATATCATAAAATACTAGAAGAAAATACAGGCTTCAGCAATCTGGAGTGGTGAAAACTTTCTGGACTCTAATTCAAAATCCAAGGAAAAGATTGAGAGATGTAGTTACATGAATCTAATCAAGCCTCTAGTTCTAACTGCCAGTCTATAAAAAATACAAGGGATAAAGGAACTTGTTTAATGACACCAAAAGATGCTACCAACAAAATCTAGAATATGAGTGTGTCAGATTTGTACTGCTTGGTGAGCAGCTTTCTTCAACAAATAAATGCCAAAAGAGTGTTGTGGTGGGGAGGGTTGCCTTTAGATTAAAAGAGATTCAAAATACTTATCAACCAAATGAAATATATGGATCTTCTTTGTACTCAAAATATTTTTAATACTGAAAAACACAATTTTTAAATAAATGAAGAAATTCAAACACTGTGTTCTTCTTCTGACGTCCGCTCCGTCGTGTCCTACTCTTTGCGATCCCATGTACTTTACAGTCCATGGAATTATCCAGGCCAGAATACTGGAGTGGGTAGCCTTTCCCTTCTCCAGGGGATTTTCCCAACCCAGGAATTGAACCGGGGTCTTCAGCTTTTCAGGCTAATTCTTTACCGACTGAGCTATTAGGGAATCCCTGTGTGGTATTGGATAATTTTTAAAATTATCATTAATTTTATTAAGTATGATAATGGTAATCTGTTATACTAAAAAGAGGAGGTCTTATCTCTTAGAGATATGGATTGAAATATTTACAGATAAAATGGTATCATCTTTGATATTTAAAATAATCAAAAAAAGATGTGTGTGGGAAATGGAGTTCAGTTCAGTTGTTCAGTCGTGTCCGATACTTTGTGACCCCATGGACTGCAGCACACCAGGCTTCTCTGTCCATTACCAACTCCTGGAGCTTACTCAAACTCATGTCCATTGAGTCAGTGATGCCATCCAACCATCTCATCCTCTGTCATCCCCTTCTCCTCCTGCCTTCAATCTTTCCCAGCATCAGGGTTTTCTCAAGTGAGTCAGTTCTTCACATCAGGTGGCCAAAGTATTGGAGTTTCTGTTTCAGCATCAGTCCTTCCAATGAATATTCAGGACTGATTTCCATTAGGATGGACTGGTTGTATCTCCTTGCAGTCCAAGGGACTCTCAAGAGTCTTCTCCAACACCGCAGTTCAAAAGCATCAATTCTTCGGCGCTCAGCTTTCTTTATAGTCCAACTCTCACATTCATACATGACCACTGGAAAAACCATAGCTTTCACCAGACGGACCTTTGTTGGCAAAGTAATGTCTCTGCTTTTTAATGTGCTGTCACATTAAAGAGGTTGGTCATAACTTTTCTTCCAAGGAGTATCTGTTAATTTCATGGCTGCAATCACCATCTGCAGTGATTTTGGAGCCCAAAAAAAATAAAGTCTGACACTGTTTCCACTGTTTCCCCATCTATTTTCCATGAAGTGATGGGACCGGATGCCATGATCTTAATTTTCTGAATATTGAGCTTTAAGCCAACTTTTTCACTCTCTTCTTTCATCAAGAGGCTCTTTAGTTCTTCATTTTCTGCCATAAGGGTGGTGTCATCTGCATATCTGAGGTTATTGATATTTCTCCCAGCAATCTTGATTCCAGCTTGTGCTTCATCCAGCCCAGCATTTCTCATGATGTACTCTGCATATAAGTTAAATAAGCAGGATGATAATGTACAGCTTTGATGTACTCTTTTCCTGATTTGGAACCAGTCTATTGTTCCATGTCCAGTTCTAACTGTTGCTTCTTGACTTGCATACAGATTTCTCAGGAAGCAGGTCAGGTGGTCTGATAATTCCTATCCCTTTAAGAATTTTCCAGTTTGTTGTGATCCACACAGCATTTTCTAAAAACAGCTTGAACATCTGAAAGTTCAAAGTTCACGTATTGCTGAAGCCTGGCTTGGAGAATTTTGAGCATTACTTTGCTAGCATGTGAGATGAGTGCAATTATGCGGTAGTTTGAACATTCTTTGGCAATGTCTTTCTATGGGATTGGAATGAAAAGGTGTAAATAAAATGAAATGGTACACTTTTAAAAATAATTATTAAAGCTGGATAAGAGTCAGACAAAACTGAGTGACTGAACAGCAACAACAAAAGCTGGGTGATAAGTACATGAATATTCATTATTCTGTTCTATCTTTTCATAAAAATACCATTCTCATTCCTTTGAAAGTAAATCTGAAAATTCTCAGATCCACTAAAGGGCTTGTAAGCAAGGATAATGCCAAGCTGAAATTGGCATCTGAGGGGGTAGAGCCGTGGGGATAAAAAGGCTAGATAAGGTACCATCAATGAGGGTCAAGGACTGGACCAGGAGGGTGTCATGGGTGGGGGAGGGGAGAATCTGGGTATGGACAATATGAAGTTGGTAGAAGTGGTAGAACTTGATGGCCTACTGATGGAGAATGCTACAGAAGTAGGAATCAGGGATGACTCAGGCTCAGAATGGCTGTGTGGTTCATTCAACAAGCAAGGAAATTCAGAACTTCCCTGATGATCCAGTGGTTAAGACTCAGCACATCCACTGCAGGCAGCATGAGTTTGATTTCCAGTCAGGGAAGTTCTGCATGCTGCAACCTCCTCAAAAAAAAAAAAAAAAAAAAGCAAGAAAATTCAGAAGGTATTAAAGTTAGATGTGAAGGAAGTGATAGGTTCCACTTCAGACAGCTTGTCCTTGTGCCTGTGGAACATCCACAGCTTAGGAAAGAAGTCTGCATTAGAGACATGGTGTTGGCAATGATCAGCTGCAGCATAATTTCCATGGAAACATGTAGAATGTGGGCACAAAAAAACACTCCCTTTGTGAGCAAGCTTTCTTATCTAATTAATAAATTAATCTTGGACTGTTAACACTAAAAAGCAAAACTGGCCTAATCAAGGATGATATATGAGACCCAAATAGTAATAATCTATGATACCCATGATACTCTGTTGCCTCTCAATTTCCATTTTGAACAGGTCATAGATCTTCAGGGTTTCACTGCAAGGCTTTCTTGTTTCATTTCTTTCCCCTACTTTTCAAGAGAACACTAAGGCTTAAATGGGCTTCACTGGTGGCTCAGATGGTAAAGCATCTGCCTGCAATGCCGGAGACCTGGGTTCAATCCCTGGGTCAGGAAGACCCCCTAGAGAAGGAAATGGCAACCCACTCCAGTACTCTTACCTGGAGAATTCCATGGACGGAGGAGCCTGGTAGGCTACAGTCCACGGGGTAGCAAAGAGCTGGACACAACTGAGAGAATTCAGTTTCACTTTCAAGGCTTAAATACATTAGGGAGAAAACATCTGATATGAAAGATAAACTTTTTCTTTTCTGTTGTCTGTAGTATAAATATTATAAAAAGTGAAAACATTAGAACCATCTCGATCCAGGGGGTATTGTTCAATTTCCTATCTTTTAAACAACCATGATAGTTGTTTAAAACTATCCTTCTGTGTGTGTTAGTCGCTCAGTCATGTCTGACTCTTTGTGATCCCATGGACTATAGCCCTCCAGGCTCCTCTGTCCATGGGATTTCTCATGCAAGAATACTAGAGTGGGTTACCATTTCCTTCTCCAAGGAATCTTCCCCATTCAGGGGTTGAACCTAGGTCTTCCACATTGCAGGCAGATTCTTTACCATCTGAACCACCAGGGAACAAAGGAGCTGCTAGTTTAAAAAAGCATTTAGGGATTGATTATACCTTGGATAAGGGCAAAGAGAAGACTCTTCAGCCCCTATCATATCTGTGGCTAGGGGAGCATCAGGCCATCTGCTAGGCTTTAACAAAACATGGCAATAACATTTTGGTTGAAAGCACAGAATGATTTTACAAACCAAAATTAAAGTTTGTAAGCAGTTGAGGCACTTGTAGGTCTTTTTTTTTCTTTTTAAAGGTATTTGTATATTTACCATTTATGTTCAGATAAGAATAGAAGCACACTGACATCTTTCTTTTTCTGTTCTGGGCTTATTCTCCTAATCTTATGTTGACTGCCCAATTCAAACTCCTCAGCCTGCCGTTCAACACCTCCATAATTTTGCTTCACCCAAAATGACTTAAATCAGAATTTTGAGGGTTGGACCCAAGCATCAGTTTGTTTTCTAATCTCCGCTGGTGATTGTGCAGCAGTGTTGAAACTGACTGTGGTTACAATATGAATGAGGAGAAGACAGCTGGGATATTTGGAGTACCTATGAAAGTGAAAAGTGAAAGTGTTAGTCGCTCAGTCATGTCCGACTCTTTATGACCCCATGGACTGTAGCCCGCCAGGCTCCTCTGTCCATGGGAGTCTCCAGACAAGAATACTGGAGTGGGTTATGGTCAGCAGCAAATGTAAGAACTGAAGTTTTTCAGAGCTTCAGATGGCAGCTATGATGTACATGTCTGTGTGCGTGTGATCTGTGTTTCCTGTCTCTGCCCTGCTCGTAGGTGACTGCCGTGCGGGTGTATGTGAATAGCTCCTCCGAAAACCTTGACTACCCGGTCCTGGTTGTGGTTCGCCAGCAGAAAGAGGTGCTGTCCTGGCAGGTTCCTCTGCTCTTCCAAGGACTGTAAGTGGATCTTTCCCTGACAGCCTCATTACATTTGTTTTCCTTCAACATCCTAGACTTCAACTGATCTTTTCGCTTGAGAAATCAGATGTTCGACACATTGACTAGTATGCATGCTAAGTGCAAACAGTTGACATGGTACATGCCCTGACCGGTTCAGCTCTGTCCAGCTTCTCTCCTCTTTGATAATCTCTGATAAGAACCTAGAATTGTAGCACCTGAAGAATGTCTTGGTTGGTTAGTGGGTCATCCACGGAGGACAGAGCTAGGCCTTGCAGTCACCTTAAGTGAGTGACACCTCCCGTTCTTCACAATGTTCACTAAGTGTGCTTTCTTTATCCCATAATATTTATTGAGCATTACTAAATGATAGATGCTGGGGATACAGTGGTGGAAAACAACAATGAAGTCTCTTCCTCGTGGAGTTTATATTTTCACAGGGGAAACTATATAGGGCACAAGAACAAGCAAGAACAAACCAGAAAGCATGCAGACATGGGCACAGAGTACAGTGTGAAATCATTTTGCAAGTTAAGAATGTGAGGACTGAAATACTGACTCTGATACCTTGACTTGGACTCTGGGGCTTTCTTTATATTTGTTTAGCAAAGACTTAAAGAGTGGCAAAATGGAATCAGGTTGTTTCATCAGAACAGTTTCCCTTCCAAAATCTGATTAATTTTCTGATTGAATTAGGAGGGTGATGTGGTGATGCAGGCACAGCCTAAGTGAACTGGTTGGCACACAGCAGTCCCCATATCTGTGTTATAATGTCACACAATTCTGTGCCAAGTACGTTAGCTGTAAAAATCACTGTCAGTAGGTCCAGTGGGAAATTTTAAATATAAGGACCTGGAAAGAAATTCAGAGAGAACTGAATGGAAACGTTTCTTTCCCTGCTTGTTCATTGAGTGTCCTTTTCCTTCTTGCTGGTTTTTCCTCCCCTGGCTGCTGCAGATACCAGAGAAGCTACAACTACCAGGAAGTGAGCCGTACCCTTTGCCCCTCAGAAGCAACCAATGAAACAGGACCTCTGGAGCAACTGATATTTGTAGATGTCGCATCCATGGCACCCCTGGGTGCCCAGTACAAACTGCTGGTTACCAAGCTCAAGCACTTCCAGCTGCAGTAAGCAGGACTCCTTGTGGCCTTTCTCTGTTCTCCTGTCTGCTCTTCCTGTGCTGTGCATGCTTGATCCTGCTTCCTCCCTTCCAGATCAGCACTCCAGAAGGAAGTCATCCACTTGACATATTGTCTGTGCACCTTCTGAGCTCCCCTGCTCACAGCTGGGCAGCAGGGTCTTAATCTGTGCAACAGGGAGGCAGAAGGGGACTGGAGCAGAGGGGAGAGTGGTGGACCTGACAGGCGTATCCATTCCTGGAGGTCTGTGAAGACCCCCTCCTGTCTGTTATCCAAGCTAGGGTGATGTCCAAGCACTAGTGATGGGTACTTCTGTGTTCCTCACCAGTGCCACTTTCCTGAAGGCAGTTTTAGTTTTGTTTTAAGGAAGATCTTAAGTTGCTTTTCTTGTCCTTATTACTATTCCAGTTTTCTCTTTCTGGTTAGGAATGTATACAGACTGAAAATAATATTTTATGTGGCTTTGTCCTTTGTGTAAAAAACTTAATGACTGCTTCCTCCTTCTCCTTGCACTACTGTCTTTTGAAATCAAATCAGTCAGGATACATCATCTCAAATTGTTTACATTAGACATGGAGTATAACAAATTCAGTGGAGGGCATTGTCTCCAAGGGATCTGTTCCCTCTCAGAGGTTACTCATGTAAAATATTGCATAAATCTGTGTGAAAAGGTAAAAAGAAAGGCTAAGGTTATTCCTTAATAAGGTCATAAACTTCAGGGAGTTTCCTGTCCCATCCTACTCTAAGCTCAAGGTTTCTCAAGGGTTCAAACCATTTCCTCCCTTCTCAGTGTTCTAAGGAAACTTTTTAAAATATATAATCAAATTGGTTATATTAAAATTTTCATTTGTACTCATCAAAAGGTATCATTAAGAGAACAGAAAAACAAGCCATAGACTGGAGCATATGTTTCTAACATACATAAGAAAGGACTCATATACAGAATACATAAAGAACCTCTACAAATCAATAAGAAAACACTGGCAAGATTTTGGTTGCCATCTCCAGTATCACCCACCCTTCTGTGGCTCTGGCTTCTTCTGGTTGAGGATCTTAGAGCCTACAAGTCTGAGCACTGCTCAGGTTCAGACTCCATTTCAGTGGAGTGAATAGGTTTTCTGGGGCAAAAATGAGGAGATCTCAGGGCCAGAAACTACTTGAGAAAACAATCCCGACTTTGACCTCTCACTAGAACTTTGGGACAGAGTCAGAAGAATCTCAGAAGGAGAATCAGTGTTTATATTTACCCAATGAAAATGAACAACATATCATATGTGATGGGTTTTCTAAATCCCATTAGTCTTTTACTTGGCATATTTGAGTCCATTTATGTGTTGCTTATAAGAGTACAATCTTTACAAAAGAATGTATAACTGTAAATAAAAGATAGTAAATGAAATATCATGCTGATACTAAATAAAAGAAAGTTTATATAGTATATCATATTATATGAGATATTCCTTAATGCAAAAATCATTATTAGCTATAGAGAAACAAATTTTTGCAGCTTATTTTTCTGATCAGAATGTTCTGCTCCATTATAAAACTTTCCTTAAATTTTCTCAGGCAGTTTATTCTGAAGTCTGTAGCCAGTGGAGTTGCTAACAGTAATCAAATATTTATCTTGGTCTTCTCTATACCCTGTGACAGTGTATATATACTGGATATAGATGGACAGATGGATTAATGAATGGTCAGAAGGATAGAGAAGTAGTTAGAGCATTTTATAAGTCCCTCCATTAACTTCAGAGTAAAAAAAGTGATGTGATGATTTCAAGAGCAGAGAACAACCTACCTACCCCCAAAAAAAGGCAGAAAAAGATGAGTTATATCAGTCTCTAGGAGGGAGGTTTGATCATTATAGTATATATATTTTTAATAGAATCTCCATGTGATTCTAACGTGCAGCCACAGTTGAGAACAACTACCTTTAAGCAATTTCTAAATGTGGTTCTTGTGTTTGTTTTAATATTTAAATTTATCTGTGATATTAAACTGTATGGGAATTGGTGCTCATAATCTGAAGGAGTTGGCACACAGTACTTGAACAGAGGGCATTTTGAGCTGCGGAGAAGCCCTGCATCTACTAATTGGTCTCTATGTGTCTAACCTGTCACTGTCACTTAGTAGCAGTGTACTTGAATTCTAGGGCTGGTATCTCTAAGGCTAATTAGACACTTTGGAGGGCTGGTATCTCTAAGGCTAATTAGACACTTTGGAGAACTGAATTCTGTGAAACTGAAGTCATAAGGTCACAAGCCTGCGAGTGTTAATGAATGATTCACATGTAGTGAAATTGCATATCTATTCCCTCACATTGCTTTTTGTTTCCGCCTCTCACAATGTGACTTGACTTCAGCAACCAGACATTCAAGACCATTTCAAAAGGTACATAGTTACAAGAGCTTTTCTGAGACTAAGATAAGCCAGAGAAGAGATGGAACTGAGATTCATGTGTCCCCTCCTCCTTGGCTCTGGATTGTCCCACACTAGCCTTGGCTGTGTGTTAGTCAGTCAGTTGTGTCTAACTCTTTGCAACCCCATGGATGGTAGCCTGCCAGGTTCCTCTGCCTATGGAATTCTCCAGGCTAGAATACTGGAGTGGGTAGCCATTTCCTTCTCAAAGGGATCTTCCCGACCCAGGGATAGCACCAGGGATCCTGCATTGCTGGAAGCCCAGAAATCCAGAGAATGATGGATCAGGCAAGAGCTGAGGACTGGGGACATATGGACTCTAGGTATTGAGAGAAATACTGAAGAATTAACTCAACTTTCCTAACATTGAAGTTTCTCTTGTTTGTTTTTCTGTATCAGACTAGAAGGTACATGAAACATATCCTGGGATTTTTTTTCTCTAATTATAAACTTTAAGAATAGAAGGACATTTGGGGATTGAATTCACTCATTTCATTTTTACAGATGAGCAAACTGATGCTCAGAGAGTTTAAGTGATTTGTACACACTTACACAGCTGGGAAAGGGCAAAATCAAGACTAGATTTGACTCTGACTTGCAGTTCTCAGTTCTTCCCACTGTAACATGCTATTTCTACTTTCTGTTTTAAAACTGCCTTCTGAATTTTGTTGACCTAAAAATGTTTCTCAATTCCAAGAAGCATTTCTTTATTTAAATCCAGCTTAAAAAATAAAATTATTATTTTAAACATTACTCCTTGCTGTCTTAATTCTCCTGCACCTGCCTACACACACACACACACACACACACACACACACACACCAGTTTTTCCCTCACTCCTTTTCCCAGACACCATTGCTCTGGTGTTCAGTGTGCCAGAGTATGATGCTATAGACAGGGAAGAGCAGAAGGCTGCAGGAACAGGCAGACACCTGACCCTGGGGTGGGAGGAGCTTGGAAGGGCCGTTAAGAAATTTAGACAGTTGTCTAAATTGTCATAGGTATGTGGAGAATGGATTTGAAGGGGGCAAGACTGGAGGCAGAGAAATTAAAAGTACTGATGCTGTGATCAACATAAACAATAAGGAGATGAATGGAAAAATTTGGAGGTGAAGTTGACAAAGCTTGATTGAATATTTGGGGTAAGGGAAATGGGAGAGTCAAGATGACCATGTAACTTGTAGATGGCGGTGCCTCTAAGAGAAAATGAGAATTTTGAGGAGGGAAGGAAGATATGATAAATTCATGCTGAACTTGAAGTGCAGGTACCCAGCAGAGTGTCAAATGTACACCAGCACAATGCTCAGGAGAGAGGGCTGAGCAACACAGTGCCCACTAAAGAGAAGCTTCACGTGGAAGGCTGGGCCACGTGGTGCCCAAGGCAAAGTTACAGGAGACAAGGGGAGAAGCAGGCAGTACCCCATCCTTGCTCTTGGAGATCTTTATGCTGTACCAGGGGTTTTAGACTTCACCATGCAGGTTATGGAAGCCACTAATGAATCTGATCTTTCAGATGATTTTGGTAGCCATGTGGAAGATGAACTGGAGAGGCCAGGGTAGAGGCACATAGGCAAATGAAGAGAATAAAATTTGAATTTGAATAGAGAAGAATAAAAAATTATCAGGACCTGAATATATTATGGTGGCAACAAAGTTTTAATGGAGAAAAAGAGTCAAATAATACACATGGGGACAATTTACAAATCCAAAAAATACATGTGGCATGGTCAAACAAGGAGGGGACATATGTATACCTACAACTGATTCATGTTGATGTTTGACAGAAAACAACAAAACTCTGCAAAGCAATTATCCTTCAATTAAAAAATAAATTAAATTAAAATTTTAAAAATACAGTCTTATATGAGTACTTGAATCCTTCAACCCTCCTGTAAACTTCTAAGTGGGATTTTGAGTCTGGTTTGAGAGAGAGTTTTCAGTGTACTAGTGCAGTTTCTGTGCTGTAAAGAGCAATAGATTTTTGAGGAAATGGATGAGTGAAGAGGCTTTTAGACCATTTTGCTATGCATCATCCTATGTAATTGCCCTTTGATATTTGGGGTAGACTACATAATGATTTACATTGCTTTTCAGATTCGTGTTTGTTTTCTTATTGGATGTTACTTGAGTAAAGACAGTGCTTCAGGTGTTACATTTATACTAATAGAATCAGGAAGACAGAGTGAGCAGTAGTTGTGGAGAGGAATCCAAGATGACTCCAACAATGATGTCAGAAGTCAGGTGAGGCTTATGGACAGACGTGGCAGATAAGGGTCAAGGAAAGGGTAGTACATTCCATTTTGATCATATATGGAGTTTGAGATGCCTTGAGGGACAGTGAAGTGCAGAAGCCCAGCAGAGAAACACTCTTCAGTGAGTGGAGCTCTGGAGGTAGCCCTGGGCTGAATGTGGAAACTTGTGATTCTCTGGCATTGTTGCAGCAACTGTGTGTGTGTGTGTGTGTGTGTGTGTGTGTGTGTGTGTGTATACATATACATACATACATATATATGAGATTTTTATGGCAATTATAACATATGGTTATACATATATGAATGAAGAAGATATATATGGTTAAGAAAAATGAGGAGATCAAAAACAGGACTGTGTGTCACATCCTCATGTAAGGGATGGTCTGAGAAACAGGAACTCTCAGAAGAAGCTGAGTCAGCATGATCAGATGCATAAGAGAAAACCCAGGAAAGCAGGCATCACAGAGCCCACAGGAGGGAAGAGTTCTAAGGCAGAAGTTGTGGTAAAGTAAAGTAAGTAAAGTCGCTCAGTCGTGTCCGACTCTTTGAGACCCCACAGACTGTAGCCTACCACGCTCCTCTGTCCATGGGATTCCAGGCAAGAGTACTGGAGTGGGTTGCCATTTCCTTCTCCAGGGGAATCTTCCCGACCCAGGAATCAAACCAGGGTCTCCAGCATTGCAGACAGACACTTTACCATATGAGCCACCAGGGAAGCCCATACAGAAGAAGGTGTGGTAGTCAGTGTTAAATGTCACAGAGGGGGAAAGAACATTAGGGATTAAGTCACTGGATTTAGCCACGGGGAGGCGACTGGCAACCTCAGGGAGATGGTAGGGATAGAGCCCTGACGGCGGTGGAGAAGGAAAGGGGAATGAGGGGTGGGAGCACAGCACCCTGTGAAGAGGCTGGTCTGTGAAGGAGAAGGAGGATACAGAATGACATCGAAGGAGGGAAATTCAGGGGAAACAGTACAACTTTGTTGGCTGCTTTTGTTTGTTAATTATTTTGAAAATGGTTGAGACTAGAGTATGTTTGTAAACCAAGGAGAAGCAATGCAAATAAAGTTTATAGGACAGTTGGATTTTTCTAGAAGCAAAGTCCCAGAGAAGAGAAGAAAGGACAGAATTTAGCGCATGCATGGAGAGTTTATACTCTGACCAGAGCCATGAGGTGGATGGCTACAGATGGTGGAGGCTGTGGGGAGATTTGTGGCAAACAAAGTCAGTTCATGACAGATGGCAGGAAGGAGGTAATAGGAAATGATACTCTGAAGTCCGTAGTCCAGGTGAATAACCAGAGTAATTTCCTTCGATAAACAAACTGAGGGTTTTGAATCCCCACTCTGGTCTGTGCTAGGGGCTTGCTGTCATATAATAAGACGAATATTAATCTCACAGTCTTCTCTGACTCACCTCAAAAAATGACTTAGCTTTTGACTTTGTCTTTCCACTGATCCTTTCTTCCCATCTCCCTTTCCTTGTCCTGTTTCATTACCTCTTGCACACTCTCTCTCTCTCCCTTCCCCATGGACCCCTCTCCCCTCTTCTCCAATCTCTCTTGACTCCTCTGTTCTTTTTCTCTTTCACTCTTCCTCAAGCTAGCCACAGTGAGGAAACAAAGTTAGTTTTTAGGTTTTCTTATTTATTAGGTAAACATTTGTTTCCTGTGTTTAATTTTTTCAACAAATAAGTCAAAAATTACACACTTCCTTCTCTAAAACTGTTTCAATTAGACTTGTTGTGTTGTTTAATGACCCCTGATAAAATAAACCTCCACCTCTGCTGAGGCCTATGGGGAAGGAAATAGAACCTTTCATCTGCAACAGACACCATGTTTATTTTGCACACACTGTTGACTCCAGGAGAAAGAGGAGATTACATGTGATAGTCTTAAGGAAAATATGTTTTCAAAGTTTGTATGTGTTGTACTAGTAAAGAAAACAGAAAGAACAAGGGGAAAAAAACCCAGAAAATTCCTATCCATGTCCACACATTCAGTCTTAACTGGAATGCAAATGACAGGGGAGAATTTAAAAACAAATTTCTGTCCAATGAAAACTGTTTGCTTCCGGAAATCTTAACCTGTCTGTTGCCAGCCAAGAAAACCACTGTCCTTTTTGTTCCCCTGACCTGGCAACAGACAGAACTGAGGGCCCATGTTGCCCTGGTAACTGCAGATGACATTCCCCATGCTGCAGAGAACCATGCACAGCATGTGGTTCCTGACTCTGACTGTGGAGTCTCAGAGCACGCACAGAGCTGGATTTGACACCAACTTCAGCTTCTTTACGTCACGTAAGGTCATGCGTTATTAACCATGCTTCAGCAGGACCAATCCTTGACTCTAATGATGACGTCTATTGAGAGTGGATATATATATAAATTGTATCTATTGCTAAATTCTATGTCTAGTCTGCTAATGGCCTAAATTGTTTGTCATTACCTTTATAAACAGTGTTCAAAATCTGTGACTTCTAAACAACACCTTCAATTACAAATTTCATGCTTCAATGTCCTGACATGCCCTTTCTAAAGGAATCCTTAGTAAAAATTTTAAATGGTTTAATTTTTATAAAGGGAAAAATTAGGAGTGGATAAAAAAGACTCTTTAGAGAGCATCAGGGGATGAAGCTGGGGAGGGGCCCCAAAAGTTCGGGTTTCCAGAAGTTCAGGTCACACTGAAGGGTTGGGATCATGCCATTCTCCTGATGCAGGCATTGAGAGTACAGTGAGTATGAGTGAGTTATCCTCACAATTAAAGATGAGACAAGAACCAGAAAGAACAAAAGCCCCAAACAGCCCTTGCATGACTACAGAGAAGACCTAATCTGTTTTTGCATTTTCCAGACTCTTGAACTGTTCACATGTGTCCTTCCCAATAGCACTCTATGCTACAAATGTATGTTTCCCACACCCTCCTCACACTCTCCTCAGTGCTGGATCATTGCTGTCTTTCACAGAAGATGGAGATATATAATAAAATAATTTACAGAAAATTGATAATTGAAAAGAAAATAACTTCATTATATTTTTTTGGTGGTATGTGCATTTTAAGAAGGGTCTTAGAAGGCAATGTCTAACCCAAAGAAGACCTGATCTTGGAGGGAAATGTAGACAACTGTGGGGTGCTTGGGGCAGGAAAAGCATGCTCCTATCCCTAGAGACCCTCCCATGGTGATTATCTATTCATCATACTTTTAAAAAAGTGATATTTTTGCCATGGATACATCAAAATTATTTTTAAGTTCTATCTGAATTATGCAAAAGAACCTCAAGCCTTCTTTTCCTCTCTCAGCCCACTTCTGACACCTAAAACCTATAGTTGAGTGTAAAATCTTAAGAGAATATGAAGACAAATGTGTCTATAAAAGTCAAAGTACTTACTTGTATAACTTTATGGGTTTATTTTTATAAAGACATAAAATTGATCCCTTCCCAACTTGATCATTCTTGACAACTGAACCCACCAAGTTCCCATACAGTGTACTTTGTCACTTTTATGGGCCCAGACAGAACTGCTTTCTCAAAGGGTAGGGCTTTTCTTGCATCTAGTTTGAGATTTTTTTAAGAAATAACTTTTGCTTGCTAACTTATGTTTTTCTTTCACTTTCCCCCCTTTCCCTTGTATTTCTCAGGACAAATGTTACCTTTCACTTCACTGCCAGCCCCTCTCAACCTCAGGTAAGTGAAGGCTTCAAGGTTATCATGATTCTTACCTAAAGAAACCATGGTAACAGGTTGAGTTAGCACGTGGTGTTGCCCTTACTCTTTTACAACTTGAGCTATATTTGTATTTTTGGAATGTGGTTCATATAACTGAGATTTTAGACACATCATTAACCTTATCATTTGAACTGGTGTGAAATGGGAGGCATGACATGTTTACAGATATCCCTTGGCTTAACCTTCATTCATTAAATTATGGGCCAACTATGCACATCAGGTACAGTGTCAGGCAGTATTAGATGCCAGGGATAGAAGGATGAAGAAGAAGAGAGGAGCAACTTCTGCCTGCAAAGACCTTATAATTAGGATGGGGATGGGGAGACAGAGAGTGGAAGGCCACCACTAAACAAATACAAAAGTAAACAACTGATCTGGGAAATATAACAAAAATGAGACAGATTTTAATATCTACAGTGTTATGGATAAAATTCATTTCTTCCATCATTAAGAAAGAACAGGTATGCTGACAAAAATTATCAGAAGATATAGATACTTGGGTTATGCTCTCCACTAGGCCTTAATCATAAACCAAATAAACATATTAAAACTTTGATTAATTCAGACTGCTTTTCTAGTGATACTGCTAGCTACTTTCCTTTTTCCTTTCATAGATTCTGAAAGAGTAAGGTTCATGCAATAGCCAAGTTTAAAGCAGATTTATTTAATGTCCTGATGTTTCTTGTAAATTTTCAGTACGCTGCAATACAACTTTGGTCAAAAGTGGCCTTGGATATACTAGAACTGGGATTAACATATTGTATGGATGCTGTTGTAAATCTATTACAATCACTTGTGAGCTGGTGAACCTGTTCTCAGAGAGAAAGCCCTGTTTTGTAGAGTTTGCCCATTTCTGCAGTGTAAATACTTCCACCCTGGCCGATTTCAGACTGCCATCATGACATCACTGCAGACAGAGTTGGAAATCAATGTGCACAGTCAGCTCACCAAACCTGCCAAAGCTGACACGCGCACACCTTTTAGAGTTACACTTCCCATCAGAAAAAGTCTCCACAGTGCATGTATGCTGCCACCCAGTGACAGAAGAGGACTACAGACCCACAGTCCATGGACCTCAAAGTATCGGTCACTTAATTCATGAAATGTTTGAAAGCACTATTTGCGGGGTGTAATGGGAGGTATCTAGATAGGAAAGGAAAAACTTGCACCCCAACTTCAGAAAGAGTACAGTCTAATAGTCCAGTCCAGAGCCCTGAATGTTGTGATGTGCTTTGTAGACTGAAAACCAGTGATGATTATATATTGCAGCTTCTTTCCATTTAAAAAACATTATTAAACACTAAAGTCCAAATAATTTGTATATAAATTACAAACTAGAGTAAAATATACCTCAAAAAACTCATGAAACAAAACAGAAATTCTTTGACACCTATAAGGTCTTATTTTACTCATAACAGTTCCCATTTTGGCCTATATTTTTTATCTTCTTCAACTGTAGGAAAAAATTTCTGTACCTTTAAATTCACCCAAATGCTTGTACAGATTCAGACAACCTGCATCATCACTGCCTGCCTCTGTTCCTATAGGTAGAAGCAGGTAACAGAAACTGGACAGGTAATCAGGACGTAAGAAGTTGATTTTTAGCCTCAATTCCAGGCATTGCTTTAGATCCTTGTCATTTCCTTCTTTCTGGTAAAAGTACATTATCAAGGCAAAGGGTTTATTTACTTGGGATTTATGGTAATTTAGAGATAAAGAAAACTGGTGGTGATTCTTCCAATGGTTAAGAATCTGCCTGCCAATGCAGGTTTGATCCCTGGTCTGGGAAGATTCCACATGCCTCGGGGCAACTAACCCCCTGCGCAGTAACTGCTCATTAGTTATGAAGCCCTCATGCTCTAGAGCCCATGCTCTGCAACAAGAGAAGCCACCACAATGAGAAGCCCACACTGCACCTAGAGAGTAGCCTCCACTCGCCACAACTAGAGAGAGCCCAAATGTAGCAACAAAGGCCCAGCACAGCCAAATAATTAAGTAAATAAACAAATAAAATTTAAAGCAATTTATTAAAAAGGAAGATTGGTAATACTTTGGCATATAGATAAGACTTCAGTAGCGGCCTATAGCTTGCACAAAACCAACTCCTTGAATATATAGGAATGTATATGACATTCATTTTCATTACCGTTAATAGTAGCCATAATAATGCTTTTGAGGTAACAAAGTATGGCTTCCCTAAGAACCAAGAACACATGTTGGGAATTCCAGAGTATCTTTGGAAGAGCCCTGTATTCTATGTATTTGAATCAAGCTCCAAAATAAAAGCACAAAATGAAGTGGGTTCTTGAGAGCATTGCCATCTGTTACAAGGCATGAACAGACTTCCAGACAGTAGCATTAAAATGACACTCTTTAATCTTAAGATAATTGTTCCCCACTTGGAAGGCTTTGGATTGTTGAAAAGTTCTATTTTCATTGCTCTGGTTCTCAGGATGAGATTAGTAAAGAGGATGATGGAATGCAAAGTGAAGTTTTAATGGGTTTCAGTGCTCCTTCAAAGTCATAGATTTACTAAAGTCTGGATATGGGGGCTTTTTTGTTTGGTTTCCTCAAAGTCTTTTTTTTTTAATTTATTTAATTGGAGGCTAATTACTTTACAATATTGTAGTGGTTTTTGCCATAAATTGACATGAATCAGCCATGGGTATACATGTGTGCCCCATTCTGAACTCCCCTCCCACCCCCCTCCCCATCCCATCCCTCTGGGTCATTCCAGTGCACCAGTCCCGAGCACCCTGTCTCATGCATCAAACCTGGACTGGCGATCTGTTTCACATATGATAATATGCATGTTTCAATGCTCTTCTCTCAAATCATCCCACCCTCGCCTTCTCCCATAGAGTCCAAAAGACTGTTCTATACATCTGTGTCTCTTTTGCTGTCTCACATATAGGGTTATTGTTACCATCTTTCTAAATTCCATATATATGTGTTAGTATACTGTATATGGTGTTTTTCTTTCTGACTTACTTCACTCTGTATAATAGGCTCCAGTTTCATCCACCTCATTAGAACTGATTCAAATGAATTCTTTTTAATGACTGAGTAATATTCCATTGTGTATATGTACCACAGCTTTCTTATCCATTCGTCTGCTGATGGGCATCTAGGTTGCTTCCATGTCCTGGCTATTATAAACAGTGCTGTGATGAACATCAGGATACACGTGTCTCTTTCAATTCTGGTTTCCTTGGTGTGTATGCCCAGCACAGTGCTGCAATGAACACTGGGGTACACGTGTCTCTTTCAATTCTGGTTTCCTTGGTGTGTATGCCCAACAGTGGGATTGCTGGGTCATATGGCAGTTTTGTTTCCAGTTTTCTAAGGAATCTCCACACAGTCCTTCATAGTGGCTGTACTAGTTTGCATTACCACCAACAGTGTAAGAGTGTTCCCTTTTCTTCACACCCTCTCCAGCATTTATTGTCTGTAGACTTTTGGACAGCAGTCATTCTGACTGGCATGAGATGGTACATCATTGTGGTTTTGATTTGCATTTCTCTGATAATGAGTGATGTAATGAGTGATGTTGAGCATCTTTTCATGTGTTTGTTAGCCATCTGTATGTCTTCTTTGGAGAAATGTCTGTTTAGTTTTTTGGCCCATTTTTTTATTGGGTTGTTTATTTTTCTAGACTTGAGCCGCTGGAGTTGCTTGTATATTTTTGAGATTAATTCTTTGTCAGTTGCTTTGTTTGCTATTATTTTCCCCCATTCTGAAGGCTGTCTTTTCACCTTGCTTATAGTTTCCTTCGTTGTGCAAAAGCTTTTAAGTTTCATTAGGTCCCATTTGTTTATTTTTGCTTTTATTTCCA